ACTGACCTTGCCTACGTTCTCCCACCATTCATTTGGCATGTCGATCTTGCCACCAACCCATCCAACTCCAGAGGTCATTTTGACTTTTTTCATTCCAGTATAAGAACTCTTGCTCTAGATCGATAGCCGAAGAAAAAATAAAAGAACTTTGATTAAAATGATGAATCGATTTTGAATTGAATATCGAGGCAAATAACTGACCGTGGTGTATAAATTTTTGATTTGTTCTCTATTCACCTTGTCTTCTGGATATGCAAGAGTGTATCTCTCGTGAACATTGGTGTAAGCCACGGGTTTCCAGTTGCCACCAATCATGTTACCATCCTCTTTTTCAGTTAAAAACTCGTTGAGTATAAAACAAATCTTGGAATCGGTCCAGACTGCTCTCGCGACTTTCACTGTAAACATCATTCAACTTCCCCAATTTGGCAGAGGAAAATGATTAATAGTACAGTTTTTCATAAAAGAATCTAATACTGCACACCTGGGCCATTTCACCCACACTACATATGTGCAGCAAGCTAAGTCAATAGTTGTCTATCATGTACATACAGGTCTGCTCAGTTTTTTGCCCATCAGAATAAATAAATCACATGTTATACCACATGTAACTTTTTCGACTTTGAAATTTTTTTCCCAAAAATTCACTACATATAATTCTGTAGCTGCTCAGGCAATATTGTTGAAGCTATGTCTTAGTAACAGAAAGTGTGTTACATGCAGTTGAGTTGATGAGATCACACCAAAACATTGAGTCAGTGTATGTAGTCAATCTTTTGGAAGCTGTTTTCAATCTGAAAGAAGTTACAGCATGTATTACATATGAATAACTTGTCCTGATGAGCAGATAACTGAGCAGAACTGTATGTACATGATAGCCACATATTCACTGAGCCTGCTACACATATGTAGTGTGGGTGTTATGGCTCAGGTGTGGAGTGATAGAACATTTTATGACAAATCATACTCCCAATCATTTTTCCCTGCCCACTTGGGGAACCCAAATAATGTCTGCAGTGTTTTGGAGCGTTCGGATCTTTCTTGGCTCGAGGCATGATATGAACAAGGAGGGTCGAAAGTCGAGATCGGACGACAAACAAAAAGGAAGAAGTTGGATGTTGGAAGTGGGAGAAGAGTGATGAAAACCGTTGAGAGGTGGTTGACGTCGAGGAGCCAGAGTATGATTTTGTTGACGTCGAGGTGGGTTGAAGGGTGTTGAAATGAAATTTGACCAAGTTCGAAAAGGAGTTTTACGAGTGGAAAAACTCCCTCTTTGCGGTTTTCAAAACGTACCTTTTAAACTCCTTTGAGGACGGGGAAGGAGTTTCTTTTGGGTACCGTAATCACTGCCAAACGACTTTTTTTGAACAGCGTTTTTTCTAAATTTCAAGGGAGTTTATTCCAATAAACTCCCTACAAAAAGCGCTACCAAACGTGCCCTTAGGTTCAATACTATCCGCATCTCTAACTGAAACTTGCCTCCCACGAGTACGAATGGACTTTGAGCTTTACAGGTGTGGTAGGAAGAGAAGTTCTGGAGAATCTAGTGTGTAGAAGATCTGGGACAAAAGTGTACAAGAAGGGTGATGGATGTTTGGGGTCAAGCAGAGTAAAGGTCAAATTGGTGGTACATACCAGGCCTTTATAAGTTCTAATCAATTCATTAGTTGCGGACTGGTTGTGTTCATCTCATTCATTTTACAATGCTTCCACCAAAGTGCGGGACACCATTGAAGGCAAATCCCACCAAAAGAGACCTTTTGAAGGAGATTACAGGAACATCATGTCTATAAATCAGACCCGTTTGAGAAATTTCCGTTTCTTTTTTTCAAACGTGTGGGCACTATGTCCTGCTAATTGAGATAGAAGCACAGTATGAATGAATTCTACCCATATGAATATACAAGAAAAAAAGACAAAATCAATTCGCCAGAAGTGTTGCGCTATCAAACCCAAAAAGAAAGATGAGACAGTTTTTATATTGAGCGTGTCAATAGAGCGATTGTAAATAAGCATACTAGGCGACAATGCAGTCGCAACACAATTTAGAGATCTGGTTCTCTGTCGATTTGACCTCAGGACCATGGCCGACCTTTGCACACTGTGGAAATTGATCAGGACCGTTGATAGAAGTTATCGAAGCTGAATCACCGTGACAAGCGTCTGGATTTACACTTTGTTGGGCGTTTCGGCTAGTACCTGATAATGGGTTTGGGGCAATCGAAAGGGAAACTGAGGACCTTCTCGCCTGCTGAGAGAGCTGGTAGCCAATGTTGTTGATAAATCGACGACTGTTTTGAAAACTTTAGTATCACGGAAGAGTTGTAGCTCAAGTTCGAAGAGAAGTGATCACTTTACTCACTTAGTCATTTTCGAGTTTTTCCGGTGGGCGATTGCACCCTCACGTAGCTTTGCAACTGAGCGGATCAGTGAAAAGAAGATCTCCTCAACATTGGTCTGGTCAAATGTCAAACAAAGCAATTCAGATTTCGTTATGATGAATAGACATAGGCGCAGTGACATGCCAGATACTACGAATATCGCTTGGGTTTGTTTGCGGCTATAGCTACTCACGGCGGCCTTTGCGGAACATTCATAGAACAACCCTCCGCTGTCATATGCCAGCTGAGCGCCCTCGCTGGTCCCAACGCTCCTCTGATCAATCAAGTCCACTTTATTTCCTGCCATCACGAAGGGGAAGGGGAAGTCCCTTGGTTTGAGATTCGGAGAGCCTGAGGTGCTTCGATACCCGCTGTTACCACTCGTGCGGTTGGCAATCAGCTTCAAGAAATGTGGTATGGCTCTAAAAGAGCTAGTCGAATTGATTGCATAGGTGACAATGAAAGCTTCGCCTTGTGTGATCGCATGTTCCACCCACAGATCACTATTTCCGAAGTGAATATGATACATCGAACGAAACCATTTCAGTACGTATATTAATGTCATGGTTCGTCAGATCTTTAGCATTTGCACATTACCGGTATTCTTCCTGCCCTGCAGTGTCCATGACTTCGATCTGCCAAGGAACTTCATCCACCATAACAGTAGTTACGTAGCTATCGTCTATGGTCTACAAAATGAATAAATCAGTATGTACGCCATATCTTGAGAACCCGAACGCGGGGGTGAGGGGTAACGCATATCTCTTGGTTATTATCGAAACTCACAGGATCGTAACTGTGATAGGATCCACATATGTAAGACGGAATCCAGGTGGTTAGACACGCATGTAATGGAGCCTCCAGCCAAACAGAATTAGAGTATGTATGTACTGACGACTCAAAAAATTCATGTTGCATGAATTGCAACGTGAGGCTAGACTTTCCGACACCACCCTCTGCACGTCCAAACCACAATAAACCACAACAGACCACAACAGATGCCGAAAAAAATATAATTCATCAATTGAAACATGCGGGATAATAAATAATCAAAGCGTCAGTACGTACCTCCAACGATAACTATGGTTAACTTATTGACCTTCGCAGTGACGTCTGAACCCATCTGACAAATTATGCTGACAATAGCTCGCCACTTGAGAGATATCGAGCTTCGTCCAAGATTTTCTTCTTGTGAAGATCACTGGTAAATTATATGAATCCGAAGGATCTAGGTATCTATGTAAATAGGAAGTAGGAAGTGAGTCTCAACGTTTTGTGGCGGTGATTGCTTTGTCCTCGGTCACTTCATAGTAATCATTCGAACAGTTGATAAGCCTTCGAATATATGTAGAATGTCGAGACTGTCCACCTGTCAAACTAGTCCCTTCAATTGTACTGCTGAAGTGATCTTGATGCGAAAGACCCCCGAGTTTTAACGCTTCCTCCGGTAGTATAATGGGTTATTGAAATTCGAAAGCTGATCTAGAGAAGCTTTCAAAATATCATATGTATCATTGATCAGAAATATAAGATTATCAACTGTAAAATGGCTTTCAAAAGGAGGGGCAATAGTGATAACAAACATGATTTTTTGAAAAAGTGGAAAATAAACCATTTTCCAAAAATAATGCATTCCTCCCAGCTTGCGTAAGAAGCCTATACAAAACGGGGCTTTGGTGTTGTATGCAATTTGGCCAAAAACACTTACAGAAAGAACTCATGAGTCCCTCGCTGCGCTTCGGGTCAGCAGGGTGCGAGACTCACTGTGAGACTTTATCGAGTATGAGCAATCTCTGCAAGTTCAAAACGATGCGAGAGCTGACGGGAGCTCTTTTTATTTAGCTTGACAGGGTATTTATGCAGGCAACTCAAATTTCAAA